TTATTATTACCCACTTTCGTGAAATGTGACGTCAATATTTTTGAGTTACAGAATGTTATGTCAAGCTTTTTGCGAATGCAATTCTTGCATATCAATCATGATGACTCCGAATATTCTTACAAGTTTGATAGAGCACATAGAGCATCTGTTTTATGTCATCATTGTCTTAGTCACTCAAAAAGGCCGATAATTTCACTATAATAATAAATAGCATTTGTATAGCGCAAATCCCCTCTCAACAGCAGGCTCTATGTGCTTTACACTATATTATTACCCCAGCAGACCATAGAACACTCCGAAACATTCTCAGCTTTCCGGGATTAATCTCATGATTACCGTAGAGATCCACTTTGATTTGGAGAGCATCCACAATCCAGTCGTGCCATTGGGACAGGACAGAGTGTTCGATTGTCGTCATTTTTCCGCTAGGGAGAGACAGAACAAGGATCCTTGCTCATTCTTTTTTTGGTGAGAGTTTTATGGCATTTGCAACACAATAAGGTCATATAAGTACCGAAGAATAGATGGGTTACAAGAGAGTAAAATACACAAAAAAGGAGGAGAGATAGAAACGACAGTAGTTTGATAGGAAAGAAGGAGCAAACCACACAAGAGCACCCGCCAACCACCCACGATCCTTGCTCAAATGAGGGTCACTACATTCAGAGACTATGATGGTTCTATTTTGTTTTGATTGTCAATCCAACAAGACATGATGTTCCTATCAAACATCTATCGTCCTTATCTCTCCTTCTTTTTTTGTGTTTGTTACTTTCTTGTAACACCTCTAATCTTCGGCACTTATATGACCGTATCGTGTTGCAAGTGCCGTAAAACTCTTACTAAAACTATAAAAGACATGGTGATAATGAAAATCCTCCCCCCTGCCCCAGATGCAGACAGCTCATTCTATGCCAGAGGGGAGAAGAAATATTGTACAGGACAACTGAGAGGAAACATTCGGGTCTAGTGTGACGTCAGTCTGGGGATTGTACGTCAGTCTGGGGATTGTACGTCAGTCTGGGGATTGTACGTCAGTCTGGGGATTGTACGTCAGTCTGGGGAGTGTACGTCAGTCTGGGGAGTGTACGTCAGTCTGGGGAGTGTACGTCAGTCTGGGGATTGTACGTCAGTCTGGGGATTGTACGTCAGTCTGGGGATTGTACGTCAGTCTGGGGATTGTACGTCA